TGTACGGGCTCCGCAAGCGGCTGGAGCACCTGTGGAAGACACTGCGCTACCCGAGCAGGACCTTCTCCACTGTCAGCCCGGCTCGCTACGCCCGTCGCCTCTGCCAGTGGGTGGAGGCGCACACGGAGTGACCAGCGCCCGGCCCCACTCTCCGGATCTGGATGATGGGCCGCACGCCAGGAAAGCCGGTTCCTCCGGGCCCGGGCATCTCGCCTGTGCTTCCTCCTGATGGTCGCCAGAGGGCAGCATCCCCTAACTAATACCGTAACCGTGCAGCCCCGTTTGACGGTGGTGCTGTGCCCAGCATCGTGCCAAGGACTCCCCTACTTTAGCTTATTTAATCCTCAAAAAATGCTATTATTCTCTTTTTACAGACCATGAGATGGAGGCTCAGGGGGTGAAGGGACTGAAACAGATCATTCAGCAATAAATGCTGGATCCAGGACTCAACATGGCTTTTGGATTCCGGAGGCTATATTCTTAACCACCAACTAACTCCTGGAGCTTGGTCCTCATGATCTGGGCAAGGGGGGAGGCTGAAGGCTGCAGCCCTCTTGTCGTCCAGATGGGGAAACTGAGGCCCAGAGACCTTAAGGGGCTTATGCACTGGTAAGTGGCAAGGTTGGCCCTGAGTATCTGGCCTCCCGACACCCTTCCTGGCCCCTGATACTCTAGGGATGCAGGTGGGAGAAGCTGGGTCCTGGGGAGCTCTGGGAGGCATTCTGAACGGGGTCCACTATTGATCTCAAGTGAGCTCTGCCCTCTGAAAGTCACTTTCTCATCAGTAAACCGGGGACAAGGGTCAGTGGTCAGACCAAGATCTTGGCTGCACAGACATCACCGGGAGCCTGCATGGTCCCTGATCACGCCTTCTCCTTCCCCTAGGAAACTCCAGCCTGGCCTCCGACCCCAGTTCAATCCGACCATGCCCCAACCCCAAGCAGGCCTTTCCTCCAGAGCTGCCCCAGGGACTGGCTGTGTGACTGGGGCAAGGTGCTAAACCTCTCTGTGCCTCACTGGTCTAATTTGTAAAATGAAAGGATGGAAACAGACCTCATTAACTCATTAAATATTTGTTGAGCACCTGCCATGTGACAGGCCCTCTGCTGGGTAATGGGGACCTGGGCATGAAGCAAGTGGCATGGTTTCTGCCTTCACGGAACTCTCAGAACTCACAATCTGGGGGAAGGGACCCCCTACCTGATCATTTGATGGATGGTGTTGGGGGAGGGGCTTTAACTTCTACACTGAGACCAAAGAAGAGTCTGACACATCCCTAGGAGGATCCCAGGCTAAGGATACAGCAAGGGTCTGGGGTAAGAGAAGAAAAACGTTTCAGAGTGGGAGGGGGCCATGTGGGCCAAGAGTGGACCCCCAGGTTTGGACAATGTAGGAACTCGGGGAAGCCCTTCAGCTACAACACTCACTCATTCCACTGACCTGCCAGATCCCATCAAAGCAAGATAGCTGGGGGCCGGGCACGGTGGCTCATGCCTGTAATCCCAACACTGGGAGGCCAAGGCAGGCAGCTCACCTGAGGTTGGGAGTTCAAGACCAGCTTGGGTAACACAAGTGAAAATCCATCTCAAAAAAAAAAAAAAAGAAAGAAAGAAATACGGTTGAGGGCCTGGGTGCAGTGGCTCATGCCAGTAATCCCAGCACTTTCGGAGGCCGAGGTGAGTGGATCACTTGAGGTCAGGAACCAGCCTGGCCAACATGGTGAAACCCTGTTTCTACTAAAATATGAAAATTAGCCACACCTGTAGTCACAGCTACTCAGGAAGCTGAGTCAGAAGACTCGCTTGAGCCTGGGAGGTGGAGGTTGCAATGAGTTAGATTATACCACTGCACTCCAGCCTGGGCGACAGAGTGAGACTCTGTCTCAAACAGAACAAAACAAAACAACAAAAAAGAAAGATGGCTGAGGGGAAGGAGGGAGGACGCAGAGCTCTGGCTGCAGGCCTGCCGTCTTGGTTCCTGGAATATGTGGTTTTTGGGTTTTTTTGAGACAGGGTCTCCCTCTGTCACCTAGCCTTGAGTGCAGCGGCATGCTTACAGCTCACTGCAGCCTCAGCCTCTTGAGCTCAAGTGATCCTCCCACTTCAGCCTCCCAAGTAGCTTGGACTACAGGCATGTGCCATCACACCTGGCTACTTTTATTTTATTTTTTTGCAGAGACAGGGTCTCGCCATATTGCCCAGGCTGATCTTGAACTCCTGAGCTCCAGGAATCCACTTGATTTGGCCGAAGTGTCGGGCCCACAGGTGTGAGCCACTGCACCCCAACAGAATATATGCACTTTAAATACTGACATCACTCTTAGTCGTCTCGGGGAACTTGCCTGATTTCTCAACCTTTCTGTGCTGGCATGGGCTGAGTGGAAATTTTTTGTTCTTGCTTTAGCAGGAAGTTGTGACAAAGAGTGTATCAGGCCCATCACTCGGGAGGTGATGGTCCAGGGAAAGCCAGAGGTGGCAGGGAATTGCAGCAGGAACTGGGGTCTGACACCACATTTCCACCCGTCTGGCTCCCACAGGGCTGAGTCAGCGCCACAGAGTCCTGCTGTCACACATAAGGATGATTCAGCCCCTCTCCACCTTTGGGTCTCTGGCTGTGAGCCTAGCCAGGATCTCAGGCTGGAGAGGAAAGTGATTTGTCCAAGAAATCATGGGACCCAGGCTCTCCTAACTCACACATTGATAGACATGACATAGCACCTAATGTGCTGGGCACAGTGTGGGTGCTGGGAGTGCCCTGAGCACGTGGCTGGTCTGTCTTTGCCCACGTGGAGCTTAGAGTCTATGGGGCAGGTGGAACCTAAACAAAGTAAACAGTTAATACACAGGGCAATTTCAGACTGTGACAAATACTATGAAAAACTGAGTTCGGGTGAGGCAGGAGGGTTGGGGGTGCAGGGTTGGGCAGGGTGGCTGGCAAGGGCTTTTTGGAGGAGGCGGTGCTTGAGCTGAATGACCAGAGGAGCCACCATGTGACTAGAGCAGTCCAGCAGAGGACACAGTGAATGCAAAGGCCCTATGGTAGGAATGGCTTCAGTATGATTGGCGGGCAGAGGGTGGCCAGGGCAGGTGGAGGGTGACTGAAGGAGTTCACATGGCGCAGAATCTTCTAGGCTGTGGTAAGCAGAGTAGTTTTTTGCTAAGAGCAAAGTGAAGGTCTTCATCTGGGGCTGTGACTTCCTGGTCACAGTTCCACCATGGACTTCTGATCCTCATCTACCCTGGGAGCCCGGGGCCACTGGGGCAAACCCCTGTCTCCACGTGGCCCTAGCAAGGATGGAGTTGCCTCTCTGGGGAGGAATCATCACTTCACCAGCCATCGTGGGCAGTGAGTGAATCCATAGGGAACTTCTCACCATTGCACCCTCAGGGTTGGGCCTATGAGGAAAGAAACTTGAAGGATGAGGGCTGAGGGGGAAAGGCTCTGGCTCTGGGAACCCACTGCCTGTGTGAGTGAGGGGCCATGGCGACTGGGCATGAACCACTACTCCCCACGTCTGTCCAGGCTGGAGTGGCAGGGACAGGAGGGTTTGTGCTCAAAGGAGGCCCCTGGGGTGCAGGGCCACTGCAGCAGCCCTCCTCCCAGCCCCTGGACAGGGGAGGCACTGAGGCCTAGAGCACCAGGCTCAGGGGTGATTTGGCTTGGAACCTGGAGCAGGGTAGACTGGGAAGGTTGCTGAGCTGTGGATGGATACCCTGGCATCCTGCCCAGGCCTGAGCCTCTGAGAAAAAGGAAAAAGGAGTTTGACATGGAGACCAGGGCAGGAGCGCAAGCTGGTTCCCAGGCCAGTGCCCTACAGAGGAGGTGACTGCGGTGGGGATGGTGGGATGACCTTTCCGGCCAATGCAACATTTTGCAAAAAAGATCTTAGACGAGGGCTGAGCGCGGTGGCTCACACCTGTAATCCCAGCGCTTTGGGAAGCTAAGACCGGCAGGTTTGAGACCAGCCTGGCCAGCATGGTGAAACCCTGTCTCTACTAAAAATACAAAAATTAGCTGAAAATCTCTTGAACCCTGGAGGTGGAGGTTACAGTGAGCTGAGATGGCGCCACTGCACTCCAGCCTCAGCAACAGAACGAGACTCCATCTCAAACAAAAAAACAAACTAAAGATCCTAGACGGGAAGTTTGCCTTCTCACTTCCCCACAGGCCCACTCCTGCTACTGCCTCAGTGCTTTCTGCCACCGACCTGACGCCTGAAGGCAGTTGCCTCTGAGATCCCAAGGGACCCCAATAGGACCCCAATAGGACACTGCAGCACCTGCCCAGGGCCTGGGCTGAATTGACTTGGATTTGGAGGACATTCCAGCAAGGAAGACTTTGAGAGGTAAGAGTAGGTGGTCACAGCCCCGGCTCTGGAGTGAAACTGCCTGGGTTCGAATCCTGGCTGTGCCAGGAGCTGCCTCTGCACTGTCTTAGAGGAGAAAAACAGGCTCAGGTGAATGCCACACGGACATAATCATAGTAAAATGATCACATTGAAAATAAAGAATTTATTCGTTATCTGAATTTCCAGTGTCGGGGGACATTCTGTGTCTTACTTGATAAATCCGGCAACCCTACCAGTTGAAAGGTGGGCTGCCTGACCCGAAGCCCCGCTTAATTTTCCTGCCCAACCCTCATTTCAGAAATGGAGACACTCAAGTCCGGACAGCCAGGCCGCCACTGCACGGTGTCCCCGACACCCTCTAGGTCAGTTTCCCCTGCGGCCCCAACAGCCTCGCCCAGGCAGGACCCTGCTGGAAATGCGGGAAGACGGAAAAGTGAGAGGCCGGAGCGAAGTCTGACTCCGCCCCGGCCCGGAGGCCCCGCCCTTAGCTGGAGGCCTCGCCGCCAGCCATTCACGTCCCGCCCCGTCCGGGCCACGCAGAGCCCGCCCCAGGTCGCGCAGGCCGCGCTCGTAGGATCCGCCCGCGGCGCGCAGGCCCCGCCCCCGGAGCGCGAGTCTCCGCCCCGTCTCCGCCGGCCCCGGCCCCGCCCCTGCCCCCGCCTCCGGCAGCGCGGTTTCGGCTTCCAGCCTCCAGAAGGGGCGGCCGCGTCGCCGCCTCCGCCCCGGGGATCCTGCTTCCAGCCCGGTCGGCCCGGCCCGGAGGCCATGGAGCTCCGAACAACGGATCTCGAGCCTCCTGCGAACCCCAGCCTGCACGCCCGGTTAGCACCTGGCGGGGAGATGGGGCAGTGGAATCTGGAAGGGCGGTGAAAACCCCACGCCCTGCCCTCCCCCAGCCTCTCCATTCGTCCCCCGGGTAGAGAGGTAGGAGGATGGAGGGGGTGGTATTCCTGGCTTCTGGCTTTCTCTGCCGCAGACCTGATTGGTGACCTTGAGCTGGGGGCGCCTCCTCGCTACCTCTTCCCCATCTGCGCAGTGAGGATTGGGTTGGCAGGCGGTCTCGCAAAGGTCGCTGATTCCTGCTCCCTTAGGATGAGGACATTGCCTTCCGGTGTTTAGAGACGTCAAGGCGTTGGATTCCCGGGCTCCATGTGCTTTCACCCCGGCCTGTACCCTCCCCTGCCTCAGTTTCCCCCATAGCCTGGGACCCCATCTGCCTTACCCCTCCTGGCTCTGAGTTTCCGGGTCTTGGCAGGTGCCCGGCTCCTACCCCTTCCCAGCCCCAGCCCTGGAGACAGCAGCCCCCAAATTACTGAGGGACAGCGACAGCATGAAGGCTCCGGTAAGTGGTGGAAGAAAGACTCTCAGGGAATGCAAAGGCCCTGACCAGAGGAGCAGCTCAGCAGCCTCTCCACCCCAGGACCCGCTGCCACTTCTGACCTCCCTGCTGCGGTGCAGAGAAAGGCAGACTGGCCTCAAAGTCCAGCGCTGTTCTTGCGGACTGTGCGGTCCCAGGCGGGTGGCATCCCCTCTGTGGGTCAGTGCCTTGCTCTCCCTGTAAAACAGAGGTAACGCTACGATCTCACCAGGCGAGGCCTTCCTGGGACTAGGGGTGTGAAAGTTGAGTTCAACTACTCTTGTCTTTACGCAAAAGTCCTGGGCTGTGGGAAAGAGAGCTGGATGTGGGGGGCAGTTCACCTTGACTGCCTGAGTCAAGGTCTCTGGTCCCTCATGGGCAGGGGAGCAGGTGCCAGGCAGAACTCCCTCCCCTGCACAGCTGGCCACACAGAAGACTTATTTTTAGAAGCTGACGTCGCTTATGGGCAGAAAACAGTGGGCTTCAGGCAGGATGTGCTGGGGCAGTGGGGGTGATGGGGTGGGGTGGGGGTCACTTTCCCACTTCTGATTTTCAGAGAGCACCAGTCAACTGCTCCATGGCTTCTGGAGGGTGGCCTAGGGACTTATGCCTTGGGTCTAGAAAACTGGAGCCCAGAGAGACACAGGTGGTGACCAGGATAGCCCAGTACCTAGCGACTGACCCACAGTTCTGCCGCCACCAAGCCCCTCCCCTCCTGGGAGCATTGGTGGGGGGGTCCAGTAAGTCTGCCAGCTTGGCCGGCCCCAGGCTGGGCCCAGGCCAGATGGCTAGAAGAGCTTCCTGGTTCTGATGGCCTTTGGCACATGGTTTCTGGAGGTGGGAACCTCTAGGCGCCAGCCTTTCAATTATTAAAACCATTTCTTGAATGACTTTCCTCAGATCTCCTTGTGCCTCTTGGCCTGCTGACCCAGATCCTGATCATCACCAGGGGACAGCCACTGAGTCAGCTGGGGTGGGGTGGAGGTGGGGCCACACTAGGCAGCCTTGGTCCTAGGCTGAAGGGGCTTGTGGCCCTTCTGAGGCATCCCTTTCCCGTTGTCATGTGCACAGCACTTTACAGTATACAGAATGCTTTCATTGCTCTGCTCCCATAAGTTCACACCGTGGGCATTATTAGTCCCCAGTTTGTAAGGAGGAAACATGGCCAGAGGGACAGAGAGCCATAGGCCGCACAGTACACCCTGGCCTCTAGTTAGGAATGTGGGCTTTCCAGCCTGTTTTTAAGGCCCCACTGTGCTGCTTCTTTGCTGTATGGCCTTGAACTACACATTTCACCCCAAATTGCTTTCCTTATCTAGAATGTCCAGATGATGACAGTATTATCTCCAGGGCCTTATGTGCCCAGAGCTTGGCCTCCCCAAGTAAGGTCCAGTGAATGGAGGCTGGATTCTGCTGCTGTCCTAGGTGCAGCTCCAAAGCGGCTTCTAGGATCCCCTCCCCACATACGCCCCCCCATGGCCACTGTCTCCCTCAGGGTCGGCTCCTGCTCATCATCCTGTGCTCTGTGGTCTTCTCTGCCGTCTACATCCTCCTGTGCTGCTGGGCTGGCCTGCGCCTCTGCCTGGCCACGTGCCTGGACCACCACTTCCCCTCAGGCTCCAGGCCCACTGTGCCAGGCCCCCTGCACTTCAGTGGATATAGCAGTGTGCCAGATGGGAAGGTGAGTGGGCTGGGGGTGGGTAGTCAGAGCTGGGCTTGTGCCAGGTTAGACCTTGAGCTTGGTCCCTCTGCTCACCAGCCATGTTATCCTGGCCAATCACATCACCTCTCTGAGCCCTAGGCTCTAAGAAGAAATAAGCGTTTTGTTTTGTTTTTGAGACAGAGTCTCGCTCTGTCGCCCAGGCTGGAATGCCGTGGCATGGTCTTGGCTCACTGCAACCTCTGCCTCCCGGGTTCAAGTGATTCTCGTGCTTCAGCCTCCCGAGTAGCTGGGACTACAGGTGCCCAGGCTGGAGCGCAGTGGCGAGATCTTGGCTCACTGCAACCTCTGCCTCCCGGGTTCAAGGGATTCTCCTGCCTCAGCCTCCTGAGTAGCTGGGATTACAGGCATGTGCCACCATGCCTAGCTAATTTTTGTGTTTTTAGTAGAGATGGGGTTTCGCCATGTTGGCCAGACTGGTCTCGAACTCCTGGCCTCAGGTGATCCACCCACCTCGGCCTCCCAAAGTGCTGGGATTACAGGCATGAGCCACTGCACTGGCCCAGATGTTGTTTTCTTCCCTATTTTACAGATGAGAGACTTGAGGCTCACAGAGGCCAGTGACTTGGGCTCAGGCCGCGTCGCTAGGAGCGGGCAGAGCCAGGATTCAGGCTCAGGACCAGGGAGTCCCCAAGCTGTCCTGGGCACTGACGATCCTGCTTTTACTTAGAAACTGGGCACAGTGTGGGTGGGGCATGTGTAGGGGAGGGGGTGGCCTAAGAGTGATTCTCAAGAGCTGAGGCTCATGTTTACTTAACAAATACTTATATGACTTCCAGTCTGTACCAGCTACTGTTCTAAGTGTTTTTTTTTTTTTTTTTTTTTTGAGATGGAGTTTCGCTCTTGTTACCCAGGCTGGAGTGCAATGGCGCGATCTCGGCTCACCACAACCTCCGTCTCCTGGGTTCAGGCAATTCTCCTGCCTCAGCCTCCTGAGTAGCTGGGATTACAGGCACGCGCCACCATGCCCAGCTAATTTTTTGTATTTTTAGTAGAGACGGGGGTTTCACCATGTTGACCAGGATGGTTTTGATCTCTTGACCTTGTGATCCACCAGCCTCGGCCTCCCAAAGTGCTGGGATTACAGGCTTGAGCCACCGCGCCCGGCCTCTAAGTGTTTTATAAAAATTTGCTCAAGCAAACCTCATAAGGGCTCATTATGTAGAGACAATTAGGGCCTCAGAGGCAGCAAAAGGAATGACCACAAATATGGCTGATGAGGAAGTGGGGGCTGAGTGCAGAACCTTAGCTCCGACACTGGATATTACTGTGATCTTGGTATAGTCACCTCTGCTGTCCAGCCTGCAACATGGGTTAATAACAGTCCTTCGAGCCGATACCTGATCAAGCAAGGTTGCTGGATGTTCCTGGGGGTGGCGCAGGGGGTGGAAGCTGGTGCTCACGCCCCTCCGTCTCTTTCTCCCTGCCTGCTCTGCAGCCGCTGGTCCGAGAGCCGTGCCGCAGCTGTGCCGTGGTGTCCAGCTCCGGCCAGATGCTGGGCTCAGGCCTGGGTGCTGAGATCGATGGTGCTGAGTGCGTGTTCCGCATGAACCAGGCGCCCACCGTGGGCTTTGAGGAGGACGTGGGCCAGCGCAGCACCCTGCGTGTCATCTCACACACAAGCGTGCCGCTGCTGCTGCGCAACTACTCACATTACTTCCAGAAGGCCCGAGACACGCTCTACGTGGTGTGGGGCCAGGGCAGGCACATGGACCGGGTGCTCGGTGGCCGCACCTACCGCACGCTGCTGCAGCTCACCAGGATGTACCCCGGCCTGCAGGTGTATACCTTCACCGAGCGCATGATGGCCTACTGCGACCAGATCTTCCAGGACGAGACGGGCAAGAACCGGTGAGCCTGGGGCCGGCCTGCTGGACTCTCCCTGGCAGCTGGGGGCCTTCCTTCCCCAGGAGTCTCTTGTCCATCATAGGTCTGCTCCATCAGGCCTGGGAGGTCGGCACTCACAGAGGCAGAGGGGATGTCATTCAGGAAACTGTCACACAGATTTAGATTCTGAAATGGTGTTGAGGGCCGTCGGGCCTTTTGAGCACCTGATGGGAGCACTAGCCAGTGTGGGGAGGCATTAGGAGCACTTCTCTCTGCAGGGGATGCTCTAACTTGGTCTCAGATATCCCTTCTGGATAACAAAAGTTAGAGGCTGGGTGCAGTGACTCATGCCTGTAATCCCAGCACTTTGGGAGGCTGAGGTGGGAGGATCGCTTGAGGTCAGGAGTTTGAGACCGGCCTGGTCAACATGGTAAAATCCCATCTCTACTAAAAATACAAAAATTAGATGGGTATGGTGGCACATGCCTGTAATTCTAGCTGCTCAGGAGGCTGAGGCAGGAGAATCATTTGAACCCTGGAGACAGAGGTTGCGGTGAGCTGAGATTGAGTCACTGCACTCCAGCCTGGGCGACAGAGCAAGACTCTGTCTCAAAAAAAAAAAAAGGATCAGAGCAATAACAGCCCTCTGCTCACCAGGCATTGGGTGAAGCACTCTGCATTCAAGGTTTTCATTTTATGCCATACCCAAAAGGGCACTCCTGACTCTTGCCAGTCCCTCCTCCACACACCTGCTCCTCTGCCAGCCTCTGCTGCACTCAGGAGATAGAAGTCAGCCTCTGGTGTATCCACCAGAAAATTGGGCTGTGTCCCTGGCTCCCCTTGTACCCTCATCTGTCACATGCAACACATGCAGTGGGCTGTGGGTGTCACCTTGACCCAAGCTGCAGGCTTCCCACCCCACCAGTCCTGGCCAGCCCGCCTGCATGATCCAGCCCCTGCCTGCTTCTGTGACCTTCTCTTTCCTTCACTTTCCCTGTTCTACCTATACTGACTGGGGCTCAGATATCCATGCCTACTTCTACCTGCAGGCCTTTGCACATGTTGTTCCCTCTCCCTGGAATGTTCTTCTCCCAAATCTTCTCCTGACAGGCTTCTCTTGCTACTCAGGTTACCTCCTCAGGGAAGCCCGCCCTGACCACCCCATTCTGAAGGGGTGCCTCCCGCCCTGGCATTCTTTATCCATCCTTTTGTTTCCTTGTCTTGGCAATGGATTCACCCTCTGCCATCGTCTTGTTTATAGATTTATAGATTTATAGATTTATAGATTTGTCTCCTACCTGCTTGTTTATCTGTTTGTCTCCTTCCCTTGGGAATATTAGCACCAGATGAGGCAGGGCCTGGGTGGCACTCAGTTTGAATGAATGAACCAGCTCATACCTGCTCTGTAGAGGTTGATGGGGGTAGCCCTCGGCTAGGAGGGTACCCAGGAATGCTGCCTCCAGAGAGCTGAGGCTGGCGCCACCACCTAGCCCCTTGCTCTGAGTAGGGTATGGGGGCATGGGGGCATGGGGGCATGGGGGCGGGGGCTGGGCTGACGGTGTTCCCTCCCTACAACCACCTAGAATTATCTCCACTTTATGGACAGCTCATGAGGCTCAGGAGAGGTTCACAAGCATATGTGACTGATGCCCATAGCAGAGCCAGGGTTCAAGTGGAAGATCCTTTGACTCCAGACAATCCCCTACATCAAACCACTGCGCCCTGCTGCCTCCTGCTGTCTCCCAGGCCTGGTCCCTTAGATGAGGAGAGGACATGGCCAGAGCCCCCACACCTATCATCCGGGGCTTGTTTAAACCCTGCGAAGCCCCTCTGGGTACTGAGGAGGTGAACAGGCCTGGGTCTGTGTGCCACTCTGCGTGTCGCCCACTGCTGGCCTTGGGCTGGCTCTGCCCCCTCCCCAGCCTTCCCCAGGGTCCCCCCAAGAGGTTGAGGTATGTGGTCCTGGGCTGGGAAGGTACCAAGTGCTGCTGGGGGCTGGAGTCACCATATGGCCCCTTGCTGACAGCATCCCCCGACCCTCCCACACCCAGGAGGCAGTCGGGCTCCTTCCTCAGCACTGGCTGGTTCACCATGATCCTCGCGCTGGAGCTGTGTGAGGAGATCGTGGTCTATGGGATGGTCAGCGACAGCTACTGCAGGTCAGACCAGCCAGGCCAGGCACGCGGGGACGTGGGGAGGACTGTGAGCCCTTCCAGGCCTTAAGCCAGAGGATTTGGGAGCTGTGGGGGCACAGGGTGTGTGGGCTTCACGGTGGGTGACCATGGCACAGATACCTTTGGACACTGGGCCTTGGGAAAGAGCTCAGTGTCAAGCAGGCTGTCTTACAACCCCAGCACTGCTGCCATGGCCACAGACTGGTCACGGGCCAGACATGCCACTCCGCAGAACCTTGTTTCCTTATGGGGAAAATAGAGAAAAGAACCACATCTTCCTTGGAAGATTGTTGAAACATCTAGGGAGGGAATAATCTATAAAAGTGCTTACCACACTATATACCACTGATATGTCTATATACCACAGTATATACCAGTGATATATACACCACTGATATGTCTATATACCACAGTATATACCACTGATATGTCTGTATACCACAG